GCCACAAAGGGCGACAGCGGGGCCACTGAGGGCAGCAACGGGGCCACGAAGGGCAGCGATGGGGGCCACGAGTGGCGACAGCGGGGCTACGAAGAGCATGCGTATGGGGCCACGACGGGCGAATGCAAGCGGGGGCCACGAAGGGCATATAATGCGGGGCCACAATGGGCAGCGACGGGGCCACTGAGGGCAGCAACGGGGCCACGAAGGGCAGCGAGCGAAGGCGACCGCGGAACCAGTACGGGCAGCGAGGGGCATCGAAGGCGGTCGACGGGCAGCGAGCGGCGACTGCAGTCCCTAGCGGGCTGGTCGGGCGGGCAGGCCCAGACGCGGGGGTCGAGCGGGCGGGTCGTTGAAGCGTAAATTCTGCTTGAACCGCCAGGCAATGTGTAGCGGGAGCGCGATTCCTGAGTGTCGAGGAGCGGCATCTGAATAAAGTGTAAGGAAATATGAGGCGGGAGCCGCGATTCGGTGGTAAGTTGCGAGGAAATCCCAAGCGAGAGCGCGATTCTTCAATAAATTGCGAGGGAGTATCATGCGAGAGCCGCGATCCCGTGGTAAATTGCAAGGAAGTCCAAAACGATATCGCGATTCTTCAATGAACTGTGAGGAAGTATCCGGCGGGAGCCGTTGTTGTTGTAAACCGGGGGCCAACAAGGCAGTTTGACCTTCAGTTGATAAAAAACGTGGTGCGAGCCCCGGGAAGGGCACTTCAATCGAAAAAAAAATGTGCACCGGACGGGGGGGATCAACAATAGTTTTTTTTTCAGAAGTGAGAGTTCAACAACAACAACGCAATAAACATAATCTTCACCACGGGTCCCCATTAGAACCACGCACCCAGGGACAATGAATGACCGTTCGGCTCCCTCACTCTGATATTGTTTTGGCGATTATCAGAAAGAGTTACCATCCCCAGACAGAACTTGCACTGAGGGGTTATGCGGTGTTGCCGCCGCAATTGGTTGGGTCCGATGAGGTGTCGCCTCGTTGCCGCCCGCGGGTGCCTCGTTGGCGCCCCGTGTGCTGGGTGGTCCGTCAAGGTTTCGCCACATTGCCGCCCGTGGGCGCCTCGTGGGGGCCCCGTGCGTACATTACATACCACGTGGCTCACGCCACATAGAATGCACCACACATATATCACGTTAGTGGAACCACATAGTTTACGTCGCAGAGCTCACATACCGTAGCTTGCACCATACATCTCACACGACATATTTTGCACTGCATAGGTTATCCTTTATTATCTTTTCTTAAAAGAGAATCGACTCTACCCCCCCTCCCCGGCGTTATCGGTCCCCCTTTCGGGTATGTAAATCAGATATGATTATGACCACATGCCCATCCTCAATGTGAATTTACACTATCCCAGGGGGGCCGGTATCGACCCCCCTGAGGTTCCCTTGTAGAAAAAATCGATACGAGGGGACATCCTTTGCTCGAACATAAGACTTTTCCGCAAATCCTTTGCAACAGATGGGACGAAGTGCGCACGCGCGCGCCGTCGCGCGCGCATGCCGAAATCCGTCAATAACCTTCGGTGTCGGAAGGATTTCGCAATCGAGTTTCCGAAAAACATACAAAAACACAGGGTTTCGCAACACTGATTTGTTAAAAAAGCTCACGCGCGAGCTCTTGCGAAGTCTCCAGAAAACCGTAGGTTTTGCAAGATTTCCACAACATGCTACCAAACGGGCTTCGCGCGCGCGCGTGTCGAAATCTGTCGAACGCTTTGCGCGTGTGCCGTCGCGAGAATCCTCTGCAAAAAATGAGAAGAAGTGCAGACACGCGCGTCGTCGCGCGCGTATGCCGAAATCCTTCAAAATCCATTGGCTTCGGAAGGATTTCAACATCGTGTGTCCAAAAAACATACAAAAACACAAGGTTTCGCAACACGGATTTTCAACAAAAGCGTGCGCGCGCGCTCTTGCGTCGTCGTCGTCGTCGTCGTCGTCGTCGTCGTCGCCGTCCTCCCTCCTCCCGCGTCGTCGTCGTCGTCGTCGCCTACGTCGTCCTCTGTCTTTCCTCGTGTTCGTCGTTGTCATCCTCTTTGGCGTCGTGGTCGTTTCCGTCGTCGTTGTCGCCGTGGTCGTCCTTTTTCCTCCTCCCTCGTCGTCGTCGTCGTCGTCGTCCGTCGTCGGCGTCTCGTCGTCGTCTCTCCTATTTCGTCGCCGTCGTCGTCGTTTTCCCTCCTCCCTCGTCGTTGTCGTCGTCGGCGTCGCCGTCCTCCCTCCTCCCTCGTCGTTGTCGTTGTTGTCGCCGTCGTCGTCGTCGTCTTCGTTAGTGACGTCGTCGTCGTCGTCGGCGTCGTCGTCGTCGTCGCCGTCGGCGTCGTCGTCGTCCGCGTCGTCGTCGTCGTCCTCGTCCTCGTCGTCGGCGTCGTCGTCTCCGTCGTCGTCGTCGGCGTCGGCATCGTCGTCGTCGTCGTCGGCGTCGGCGTCGTCGTCGGCGTCGTCGTTGTCATTGTCGTCGTCGGTGTCGCCGCCGTCGTCTTCGTCGTCGTCGTCGTCATCGTCGTCATCGTCGAAGTCGTCGGAGCCGTCGTCGGTGTCGTCGTAGTCGTCGTCGGCGACGTTTTCGTCGTCGTTGTTGTCGCTGTCGTCGTCGGCGTTGCTGTCGTCGCCAAGTGCCATTTGGTATCCACCGTCGTGGTCTGAAGATGTCTTGCGACCAAGTTGCGGGTGGGAGGGTGGGATGTTTGCACGAGCCGTGGAGAGGACAGCTTCAAGACAGTCAAAGTGAATTGCACCGCTTAGATTGTACCGCATCGCTGACACCGCAAAGATCGCACCGCATGGACTGCAAGATTTGATACGCCACTACATACCTCACGCCCCATAATTCTCCTTTCTAAGAACAGAATAGACTCTATCCCCCCTTCCCCCGGCGTTATCGGTCCCCCTTTCGGGTATGTAAATCATATATGATTATGACCACATGTCCATCCTCAATCTGAATTTACACTCTCCCGGGGGAACCGGTATCGGTCTCCCTGAGGTTCCCCGGTAAGAAACAATACGCGGGGACCTTTTTTGTTCGAGCATAAGACTTTTTCGCGAATCCCTTGCAAAAAAATGGGACGAAGTGCACACGCGCGCGTCGTCGCGCGCGCATGCCGAAATCCTTCAAAAACCTTCGGTGTCGGAAGGATTTCGCAATCGAGTTCCCAAAAACATACAAAACCATAGGGTTTCGCAACACTGATTTGCTAAAAAAGCTTACGCGCGAGCTCTTGCCAAGTCTCCAGAAAACCATAGGTTTTTCAAGATTTCACCAAATGCTACCAAACGGGCTTCGCGCGCGCATGTCGAAATCTGTCGAACGCCCTTGCGCGTGTGCCGTCGCGAGAATCCTCTGCAAAAAATGGGACGAAGTGCAGACGCGCGCGTCGTCGCGCGCGTACGCCGAAATCCTTCAAAACCCATCGGTTTCGGAAGGATTTCAAAATCGTGTGCCCCAAAAAACCTACAAAAGCACAAGGTTTCGCAAAACGGATTTTCAACAAAAGCGTGCGCGCGCGTTCTTGCGTCGTCGTCGTCGTCGCCGTCCTCCCTCCTCCCGCGTCGTCGTCGTCGTCGCCTACATCGTCCTCTGTCTTTCCTCGTGTTCGTCGTCGTCATCCTCTTTGGCGTCGTGGTCGTTTCCGTCGTCGTTGTCGCCGTGGTCGTCCTTCTTCCTCCTCCCTCGTCGTCGTCGTCCGTCGTCGGCGTCTCGTCATCTTCTCTCCTATTTCGTCGCCGTCGTCGTCGTTTTCCCTCCTCCCTCGTCGTTGTCGTCGTCGGCGTCGCCGTCCTCCCTCCTCCCTCGTCGTTGTCGTTGTTGTCGCCGTCGTCGTCCTCCCTCCTCACTCGTCGTCGTCGTCGTCGTCCATCCTCCTCCCTCGTCGTCGTCGTCGTCGTCCGTCGTCGGCGTCTCGTCGTCGTCCCTCCTATTTCGTCGCCGTCGTCGTCGTCGTCGTCGTCGTCGTCGTTGTCGTCGTCGTCTTCCCTCCTCCCTCGTCGTTGTCGTCGTCGTCGTCGTCGCCGTCTTTCCTCCTTCTTCGTCGTTCGCGTCGTCGCCGTCCTCCCTTCTCCCTCGTCGTTGTCGTCGTTGTCGCCGTCGTCATCCTCCCTCCTACCTCGTCGTCGTCTTCGTTGGCGACGTCGTCGTCGTCTTCGTCGTCGTCGGCGTCGGCGTCGTCGTCGTCTTCGTCGTCGTCGACGTCGACGTCGTCGTCGTGGTTGTCGTCGTCGTCGTCGTCGTCGGCGTCGTTGACGTCGTCGTCGTCGTCGTCGTCGTCGGTGTCGTCGTTGTCGTCGTCGTCGGCGTCGTCATCGTCGTCGTCGTCGTCGTTGTCGGCGTCGTCGAAATCGTTAGAAGTGTCGTCGGTGTCGTCGTAGTCGTTGTCGGCGTCGTCGTCGTGGTTGTCGCTGTCGTCGTCGGCGTCGGTGTCGCTGCCAAGTGCCATTTGGTACCTACCGTCACGGTCGTAAGAGGTCTTGCGACCAAGTTGCGGGTGGGAGGGTGGGATGTTTGCACGAGCAGTGGACAGGACAGCTTCAAGACAGTCAAAGTGAGTTCGCACCACATAGATTGCGCCGCATAGCTTGCACCACATAGCTCTCACACCACTGAGATTGCACCACGTGGATTGCGCCACACGGCTTGCACCATACAGCTCACACCACTAGGATCACACCTCAGAGGTCACACCACACAGCTTACACATCCGCAGTGCAACACTTCATTGTTCGGAGTCCACGCTGGCAAGCCTGTACGCATTCTTTGTTTATGTTTGCTAGTAGCTTGTTGTGTCCTTGCCTTGTGCTTATGGGTGTGCTTGTCTGCGCTCGTCCACGAAGTGGGCCCCGGATCTCTCGACCCCCATGCACGGGGCCCGGTACCTCGCCGCGGACCGCAGCCGCCCTCCTGGACGCCGACACCACGAGCCGAAATGCTGGTTGTGTTTCTGTCCGCGACGCCCAGAATCGGGGTGATCGGTGCAGTGCTCTGAAGCCGAGGTGCTCTGGCATGGCGACCCGAAGGTTTTCCTGAACCACATGAACTCGCAGATCGAGGCGGCACGCAAGGGCCAGAGCCAGAAGGGCGTTACGCTGCTGTTGCAGAGGCCCTGGCGACTCGACGGATCGTTCGGGGGCGGCACCGGTGCCGGGTGGAGCCAAGCGGAGCCCGCTTCCCTCCACGTCCTTTTTTCATCGACTGCACGTAAGAGTGACCCTTCGCCAGAGTGACCTTTGGTGCGGGCTCATCGGGGTCTCCCAGATGGCTGAGCGCGATGCGATAGCGGCTGACTGCGCGCTTGGATTTGGCCACCTTGCGCCCCCTCTAGTCCGCGCACTAAAGGTTATTCTTGCCTAGGGTCACTCTTGCGTGTAGCCGATTTTATCTTGATTCGGCTCCTGCTTATTCCTCTCTCCTAATCCTTCCCTCTCCCGCTCCAACCTCTCTCTTCTGCTGAATCCGATGCCCCTCTTCCTCCTCGCCCTCCTCCCTCTGTCACGCCCTCGTCTCCCTGCTCTTTCTTGGCTCTTCCAGCATATTCCTTGTCTCTTCCTTCTGTCTCTGCTTTCCTCGCTCCCTCTCCCTCCCTCTCACTCCCTCTCACTGTCTCTGCCTCTCTCTGTCTCTCTCGCCTTGTCTCGGATCTGTGTTGTTTGTTATGTAGTGTTGTTGTCGTTGGCGTTGAGTTCTTATTTTCTACCAGAGAATAATTATTGTTGCCCCCCTACCCCCCCTCCGGTGCCCATCGTGTGTTTTCCACTGGAGTGCCCCTCCCGGAGCTCGCACCTTGTTTTTGACAATTGAAAGTCTTGAGGCTCAGATTGCGTTGTTGGCCTCCGAAAGACAACAACAATAATCATTTCAAGACTGCTCGCTCTTATCAGCTCGAGTGTCATTCAACGTGTATGTCCCGAACCCTCGATGCCCGCCCTCTTCTTCTTCGATCGTGCCCCTTTCGGGGGGTGCATCTTTCTTCCCTGCAGGCCAGGCCCCGGCAAGCGGCAGGGCGGCCGCGGACCGTCGGCCTGGCCAGCGGCAGTGCTGAGCGGCGGCAGCCGACACCAAGAGGGACGGACAGGGGACTCATCACGACAACGTCGACGACGACGACGACGACGACGACTACGACGACAACGACGGCGACGACGACGACGAGCGAAATCGAGAGCGAGAGCGAGTGGGAGAGCGACAGCGGGGCCACGAAGAGCAGGAAGGGGCCACGAAGGGCGACAGCGGGCCACGAAGGGTATGCGTATGGGGCCACGAAGTGCGCGAACAAGCGGGGGCCTCGAAGGGCAGATAAAGCGGGGCAGCAGAGGGCAACGACGGGGCCGATGAGGGTAGCAGCGGGGCCACGTAGGACAGCGAGGGGGCCACAAAGGGCGACAGCGGGGCCACGAAGGGCATGCATATGGGGCCACGACGGGCGCGAACGCGAGGGGGCCACGAGGGGCGTGCGTTTATTGGGCCGCAGAGGGCAAGAACGGGGCCACTGAGGGCAGCATCGGGGCCACGGAGGGCAGCGAGGGGGCCGCGAAGGGCGACAGAGGGGCCACGAAGGGCATGCATATGGGGCAACGACGGGCGCGAATGCATTATGGGACCACGAACGACAGCGAGGGGGCCACGAAGGGCTGCAACGGGGCCACGGAGGGCAGCGAGGGGGCCACGAAGGGCTGCAACGGGGCCACGGAGGGCAGCGAGGGGGCCACGAAGGAGCGCAACGGGGCCACGAAGGGCAGCGAGGGGGCCACGAAGGGTTGCAACGGGGCCACGAGTGCAGCGAGGGGGCCACGAAGGGCTGCAACGGGGCCACGCAGGGCAGCAAGGGGGCCACGAAGGGCTACAAGGGGGCCTCGAAGGGCATCGAGGGGGGCCACGAAGGGCTGCAACGGGGCCACGAAGGGCAGCGAGGGGGCCACGAAGGGCTGCAAGGGGGCCGCGAAGGGCAGCGATTGGGCCACGAAGGGCTGCAACGGGTCCACGAAAGGCAGCGAGGGGGCCACGAAGGGTTGCAACGGGGCCACGAAATGCAGCGAGATCCCGATTCCTGAGTAAGCTGTGAGGGAGTCCTAAACGTGAGTGCGACTCCTGGGTGTCTGAGTGTCGGGAGCGCGGCGCTTGAGTAAATTGCGGGGGGCTCCAACCCAAGAGCGCGATTCTTGAGTAAAATGCAAGCAAGTCCCCAGCGAGAGCCCGACTCCAGAGCGCCGAGAGAGCGATTCCGGAAAAAATGGTAACGAAATCCCAAGCGAGAGCGCGACTCCTGAGTAACATGCGGGGAAGTGTCAAGCGGCAGCGGGGGTCCTGGCTAAATTGTGATGAAGTCTAAAGCGGGAGCCGTTGTTGTTGTAATCCGGGGGCCAACGACCCAGGTTGCGCCTAGTGACTTTCCCTGATAACAAACAGGGTGGGAGCCCTGAGGGAAGCATTTCAATTAAAAACGAAGGGAGCCGGAGGGGAGATCAACACAAATCATGGTTTAGTCCCGAGAGTTCAACAACACCAACAACAACAACAACAACAACAACGGCTTCCGCCCTGTAGGGTCCGCCCGCCCGACCCGCCTGTCTGGTTTTGCCGTTTACTCTCTGCTCCTAACCCCCTTTTCTGCTTAAATTTGGGAGTTATTCTCAATTCGTCGTCAATTCATTTCTTGAGATTCGTGGCTTCGAGTTACTTTTAGTTGCTTATAGTGGTGCTGGCAACTTGCTCTTGCTGACCTGTTGACGCTTTCGTCAGCGCGCAGGCTGTCGGCCACGGTCGTAGCTCCGCGTGCCGTGGAGTTGACCGATTGTTGTTGCTGGCCTGTCGGAGCCGTGGTTTGCGGGCGGGCTGTTGGTCGCGGTCGCAGCTCCGCGTTTCGTAGTTGCAAAGCCCGGCCCCCGCCCTTGGTTTCCGTCGGTTGCGTTGTGGTGAAATCGTGTCATTTGTTGTTTTCTGGTCCAGATGGGGAGCCTCCTGGGGGAATGGTGGGAGGGGGTGGCACGGGAGGGAAAGTGAGGTAGACGATGAGGAATAAGTTGGGGACGACGGCGATGAGGAGGTCGATCCCTGTAGAGAAGGGGAAGAATACCGAAGACGCCTACAGCGAATCACCGCCGCCCCCTGCTTTTTTGGAACGCCTATGTGGCCGAAAGCTGAGTTAAATTTAAGCGAAGCTATCGGACCATGTGTTCCCCGAGTCGGTTCGGAAAGCCTTCGGGGAACACGTGGAAAAGAAGAGGACGATCAGACGAGGGAAGTCATCGTAAGGCCATCGCGGAGGCCTTAGGTGCCATCTTGGCGCGATTTTCAGGGCGTCTTGGGCCGTCGTGGCCCGTCGGAAGGCCGAAAAGAAGCAACTGCCCAAATCCGTGACACATCTACGGGAAACTTCGATTTCCATCTCTTCGACCCTTCCGGGAACCTCTTGGAGTTTTCTTGGGCCGTTTAGAAGGCTTCTTCGGGACTTCTTGGCCCGTCTTGGGCCGTCTTGGATCTTGGAGGCTTATTGGACGCCACAAGTCTTCAAACATGCAAGGGGAATCAATGCGTGGGGGATCCTCAGCAAAGGGCGTGAGCGGACCAGGAATCGGGTGTGGTATTGGATCGTAGGGTGGCTCAGGAATGGGCGTCAGGGTGATCTAGGCCCTCCTGGAGGACCTCTTGGAGACCTCTTGGGCCGTCTTGGACGCCTCTTGGTGGCCTCTTGGGCCGTCTTGGGCCATCTTGGAGGCTTCGTGGGCGGACTCGGAGCCATCTTGGACCCTCTTGGGCCGTCTTGGAGGCCATCTTGGGCCATCTGGACCCCAGTATCGTGATGTTTTGAGGATGTCCCGAGCGAAACGGCCGTTGGGGAGGCACGGCGACCACCGTTTCTGGGAGGCCGGCGGCACGGACCGGAGGCCCATGGGGAGGGCTCTTCTGGAAAAAGAGCCTCTTGGATGATCGTTTGGATACTGTGGGAGGCCTCTCGGGGGCCTCTTGGAGGCAGCTTTGAAAGCTCTGGGGGGCCATTTGGGTGCCTCTTGGGGCCTCTTGGGGCCTTTGGGGGGCCTCGTGGGCCTTCTAGGGGGCCTCTCAGGCTCTCTTGGGAGCCTCTTGGGGCCTTCTGGGGGCTCCTTGGGGCGGAAGGCTCGAATTGTCGGTTCGTGTTCCCCCTCTTGGGCTTTTTGGGGCCGTCTTGGGGCCATCTTGGGCGATCTTGGGCCGTTTTGATGCCCTCTTGGATCGTCTCGGGACCCTCTCGGAGGCCTCTTGGGCTGTCTTGCGGCGGTCTTGGGGGCCTCTGGGGCCACCTTGGAACGTCGGAAGCCCGAAAACGCGAGAACGCGAAAAGCATAGAACAACATAAGGACAATCAATGATTTGTGCCTCTTTAGGCCCTCTTAGGGATCCTCTCGGAGCGCTCTTGGGGCTTCTTGCTGGCCTCTTGGGCCGTCTGGGGGCACATCTTGGACGTCGTGGAGCGCTCTTGGGCTGCCTTGGAGGTCTCTTGGGCCCTCTTGGGCGTTTTCTGGGGCCCCCTTGGCCCGTCTTGGGGCCCTCTGGCTTCTGGAAAAGTCATGCGGGGCAGCCCAGGAGCGCGCGGGAACGCCCCGAAAAGTTGACACGTTTGGGGCCCCAGCCTTCAGAATACTATAATCACCCAGTCCTGAGTACAGAGAACAGGGAACCCTTGAGGACTTGAGAACATCCCACTTCGGCAGGACACACCACTTCGTGCTTCGAGGCACGGTGGCGGATAATAATGGACGCATGTGTTGCCAGTAAAGAACGCAGCGTCGGGTAACGAGGAAACCGTGGGGACGTGGAGTCTGGACGCGCGAGCATCAAACCGTGATAGGGGGGGAGGGCGGAGGAGTTACCACTGACGCGACAGCAGTTGCAACATGAGGATGAGGATGCAGAGGAGAAAGAGGATGGAGGAGGATTCTGAAGGACAGGAGGATGTTTGATGTTGGTGAGGAAGGGTGCGAAACTGAGTACGAAGGGGAGGAGGTAAAGGGGAGGAGCGGGAGGACTAGGACGTCTTTAGAAGGGTCAGGAGAGGGACGAGGACGAGGGGGAGGAGGACGGGGTGTCGCCGTGAGGGCTCGGACCCGAACGTCTGACGTGCCGGACTCGGCTCGGAAAGCCTCGCCGCGTTGCAGGGCTCGGCTCGGAGCGCGGAGGGTCGTCCGTTTGGGCCAGCCATCTCGGAGGGCGGGGAAGGCCTGGTTCCAGGCGCCGCCCCTGCGGCCTCCTGCCTGCCCCTTGTCTTTTCTCGCCCTCCCCCGCAAATCCAAGTTTTTGGCGGATGCCTGAGCCTTGCTATGCTTCATGGGTTCCAGGAGCCTTTTATCACAGCGCCATCTTCTCAGGATCGGTAGCACGTTCGGGGTCTACTCGTGTCATTCTCCGGCCATGGGCGGGAAAGGATGCTGCCGATTTCGGCTCAGGAACCATGCAGTGAGTGCCGCGAGGGTGAGGTGAGTAGACTGCGGCGCACCGTCGGTTGACGAGATGCGCAGCGGGCGCACCAGGATGAGCTCAAGATGCACCATTGATGCTGCAAGGCGCCCTCCCGTCCCATGTGTCCTCCTCGCAGGTGGCCGCGACGCGTCTTTTTCACGACCCGAATCGCCCCCCTGCAAGACGAGCGCCCCGTCGGCCCGGCATTCGCGAGGGGAGCCCAATGCTGCAACGGAGCCGCCCTTGTGCCGGAGGGGATCGCGAGGGAGTCTTGAACGGGAGCCCCTCCCTATGGGGTCCCCACCTCGTCTTGGCATTCCGAGCGGGGTATCGGCACCCTGTAGTTGTGGGGGCAGGAAGCTGAGGAGAAGAAGGAGGAGGAGGAGGGGGAGGATGAGGAGGAGGAGGAGGAGGAGGAGGAGGAGGAGGAGAAAAGAGAAGGCAGAGGAGGAAGAGGAGATTCCCCAGTCCAGACCACACGAAGTTATCGAGGGTTGAAGTGGAGCAGCGTTATGAGTTCATGCACCGATATTGTTTCTGGCGGAGTGCATGCGACAAATTCTCACAATGGGATTGGAGACCCGCTGAGCAAGACAGACGAGTTTTTGGAATTGATGTACAAATTATACAAAAGATGGCCGAGGTGATGGGTTTCGCACAAACGTATGTGAGGCAAACGCGCCCCTTCGTTTTTACGACGCTGCATGTTCAAACTTATGGGAAGGATTGTACCAGTGTAGCCAATAGTACACACTCGAGATCGTAAAGTAACCATGTACTACGATACGGCATCTGAGTTTCGGCGCTCTGGCGCCCCCGCCGAACTCTCAGAGGGCCGCCCCCCGGGGCGCACATCGGCTCCTGTCCTGTCCTGTCCGCTGCCTTTCGTGGCCCCATTGCAGCCCTTCGTGGCCCCCTCGCTACCCTTCGTGGCCTCGTTCCTTCGTGGTCCCCTCGCTGCCCTTCGTGGCCCCGTTGCAGATCGCGCTATCGCTCGAAATTTCCTCGCGATTTATGCAGGACGCACGCTTCGGCAACCCGCTTGCTCAACCTGGCCGCCTGGGCCCGCCTTGCCGACCCGCCCGTTAGGGCCGATCTGCTCGATCTGTCCCTCTGGTTTTGCCACTTGCTTTCTGCTCCTAGCCCCCCTTCAGATACTCTCTCTCGTGCTCCATCATCTTGTCCCTTCCTTTCATCCGTCCTCTCTTCCCCTGCCTCAGGGGCTGCACGAAATACACGTTGCAGGTAAGGAAGATATACTCCCAAGGGGGTACGATCGAAGACGAAGAGGGGGGGCGTATCAAGGGTTTGGGATATACATGTTGTTTGACACGCGAGCAGATAAGAGCGATCAGTATTCAATTGGTGTTGTTGATGATGATAATGACAGTGATGATGGTTTTGATACTGACGATGGTGATGATCATGATGACGATGCTGCTGATGATGCGGCTGCTGATGATGATGGTGACGACAATGATCGAGCTGATGCTGCTGCTGATGATGCTGATGATGAGGGGGATGATGCTGATGATGATGAGGATGCTGTCGCTGTTGCTGCTGCTGATGATGATGCTGGGGGCGACAATGATGGTGTTGATGGTGCTGCTAATGATGATGCTGGTGATGCGGATGCTGATGCTGATGAGGATGGTAGTGATGATGATGAGGAGGAGGAGGATGCAGATGATGACGATGATCATGATGATACTGATGGTAATGAGGATGCTGCTGATGCAGATGATGATTGAGATGATGTTGATGATGGTGCTGATGATGCTGATGACGATGATGATGATGCTGGTCAGCATGATGGTGCTAATGATGCTGATGATGATGGTCAGCCGTATGATGATGGTGATGATGATGATGATGACGATGATGATGATAATGATGATGATGACGATGACGATGACGATGATGATAATGATGATGATGATGCTGATGATGAGGATGAGGATGAGGATGAGGATGATGATGATGATGAGGATGAGGATGATGATGATGATGATGATGATGATGATGATGATGATGATGATGATGATGATGATGATGATGATGATGATGATGATGATGGATGATGGATGATGGATGAGGATGAGGATGAGGATGAGGATGAGGATGAGGATGAGGATGATGTGAGGAGGAGAGGAGGGGAGGAGGAGGAGGAGGAGGAGGAGGAGGGAGGAGAGGAGGAGGAGGAGGAGGGAGGAGAGGGAGGTGGAGGAGAAGGAAGGAGGAGGAGAGAAGGAGGAGGAGGGTTCCTCCCTCCCTCCCTCGCTCCCTCCCTCCCTCCCTCCTCTCTCCCTTCCTCCCCCCCCTCCCCCCCCTGACTCCCTCCCTCCCTCCCCCTGCCTTCCCCCCTAGGCGCCGACGACGGCGATGACGTGGTCGGAGGGGGCGAGGACGGCCGCTCGGCGACCGGGGTGGGGGGGGGGGCGGACGGCCAGTCGCCACCCCGCTGCCAGCGGGCGGTAGACGCCCCCGCCTCGCCCGACGGGCCCGCCCGCCGCCCGTTTCTCCTCGCGGAGGCCTGGGCATAGCATCCGCGTGACTCCGCAGGGGCACCCTTTGTGTCCAGCCCAGTGTGCCTGCAGAGTCGATTTCGACTGGACGAAAAAATGTGACCTTTTGCAGGATTGACCTTTGATGCGGGCCCAATCGTCCCCCCAGTGGCTTGCGCACCCAGGTTTGGCCACCCCGTGTTCCCTGGTAAGCCGCGCACCAAACGTCACCCTTGCTTAGGGTCACTCTTGTGTGTAGCCGATGATGTGCCTCAAACTTTTTTCCCCGCCGTCGACTCTACGACAGATGTGCGTAAACTTTTCTTTCGTCTAGAATATTCCGTTAGCCAGCGTGGACCACAAAAAGTAGGTTATTGCAGTCTATGCGGTGCAATCTACGTGGTGCAATGTGTGCGATGTAACCTATGTAATGCAAGATCTGCGGTGCAATCTATGCGGTGCAATTGACTACCCTGCACCGCGCTTGACCACTCCACTGCTCGCGCAAACATCCCACCCACCCACCCGCAACTTGGTTCGCAAAATCTCTTAAGACCGTGACGGTGGGTACCAAATGGCACTTGCCAACGACAGCGACGCCGACGACGACAGCGACAACGACGACGACGCCGCCGACAACGACTACGACGACACCGACGACGTCTCCAACGACTTCGACGACGCCGACAACGACGACGACGACGACGACGACGACGACGACGACGCCGACGCCGACGCCGACGCCGACGACGACGACGACGATGACAACGACGACGACGATGACGACGCCGACGACGACGAACGACGCCGACGACGCCGACGACGACGACGTCAACGACGCCGACGACGACGACGACGACGACGACGACGCGCGGCGACGACGACGACGCCGACAACGACGGCGAAGACGACGACGACGCCGACGACGACGACGAAGACGACGACGACGTCGCCAACGAAGACGACGACGAGGGAAGAGGGAGGACGACGACGGCGACAACGGCGACAACGACGACAACGACGAGGGAGGAGGGAGGACGGCGACGACGCGAACGACGAAGAAGGAGGAAGGACGGCGACGCCGACGACGGCAACGACGAGGGAGGAGGGAAGACGACGACGACAACTACGACGACGACGACGGCGACGAAATAGGAGGGACGACGACGAGACGCCGACGACGGACGACGACGACGACGACGGGAGGAGGAGGAAGGACGACCACGGCGACAACGACGACGGAAACGACCACGACGCCAAAGAGGACGACAACGACGAACACGAGGAAAGACAGAGGACGACGTAGGCGACGACGACGACGACGACGACAACGACGCGGGAGGAGGGAGGACGGCGACGACGACGACGACGCAAGAGCGCGCGCGCACGCTTTTGTTGAACATCCGTGTTGCGAAATCTTGGGCTTTTGTAGGTTTTTTGGACGCGCGATTTCGAACTCCTTCCGAAACCGATGGGTTTTGAGGGATTTCGGCGTACGCGCGCGACGACGCGCGCGTCTGCACTTTCGTCCTTCCGAAACCGATGGGTTTTGAGGGATTTCGGCGTACGCGCGCGACGACGCGCGCGTCTGCACTTCGTCCAGTTTTTTGCAGAGGATCCTCGCTACGGCACACGCGCAAGGGCGTTCGACAGATATCGACATGCGCGCGCGCGAAGCCCGTTTGGTAGCATTTTGTGAAAATCTTGGAACACCTGTGGTTTTCTTAAGATTTCGCAAGAGCTCGCGCGGAAGCTTTTTTAGCAAATCAGTGTTGCGAAACCATGTGTTTTTGTATGTTTTTGGGAAACTCGATTGCGAAATTCTTGCGGCACCGAAGGTTTCTGAAGGATTTCGGCATGCGCGCGCGACGACGCGCGCGTGTGCACTTCGTGTCATTCTGTTGCAAGGGATTCGCGAAAAAGTGTTATGTTAGAACAACAAATGTCACCGCATAGTGTTTTTTTACAAGGGACCCTCAGGGGGGGGGGGAAACTGGCCTGCCTGGGATGGTATGATTTCAGATTTGGGATGGACGAGTGTGCAGATATATATATATATATATATATAAATATATATATATATGAAATTATATTATCCCAGGGGGAAGCGTTAAGTCTGGGGGGGCGGTAGAGTCTATCCTCTTTTTAGAAAGTAGAATTGATTTTTACCCATTATTTGATACATCCCATGCTCTTGCAAACATCCCACCCACTTACCCGCTACTTGGTTTGCAAAACCTCTTAAGACCGACTACGACGACACCGACGACGACTACGACGACACCGACGACGTCTCCGACGACTTCGACGACGACGACAACGACGACGACGACAACGACGACGACGACAACGACGACGACACCGACGACGACGACGCCGACGCCGACGACGACGACGACGTTGACGACGCCGACCACGACGACAACGACGACACCGACGACGACGACGACGTCAACGACGCCGACGACGACGATGACGACGGCGGCGACGACGACGACGCCGACGTCGACGACGACGCAGACGACGACGACGCCGACGCCGACGCCGACGACGACGTCAACGACGCCGACGACGACGACGACGATGACGACGGCGGCGACGTCAACGACGCCGACGTCGACGACGACGAAGACGACGACGACGCCGACGACGACGACGAAGACGAAGACGACGACGACGTCGCCAACGAAGACGACGACGAGGGAGGAGGGAGGACGACGACGGCGACAACGACGACAACGACGACAACGACGAGGGAGGAGGGAGGGCGGCGACGACGCGAACGACGAAGAAGGAGGAAGGACGGCGACGCCGACGACGGCTGCGACGAGGGAGGAGGGAAGACGACGACGACGACGACGACGACGACGGCGGCGAAATAGGGGGGACGACGACGAGATGCCGACGTCGGACGACGACGACAACCACGAGGGACGACCACGGCGACAACGACGACGGAAACGAAGACGACGCCAAAGAGGACGACGACGACGAACACGAGGAAAGACAGAAGACGACGTAGGCGACGACGACGACGCGCGAGGAGGGAGGACGGCGACGACGACGACGACGACGACGACGCAAGAGCGCGCGCGCACGCTTTTGTTGAAAATCCGTGTCGCGAAACCTTGTGTTTTTGTAGGTTTTTTGGACACACGATTTTGAAATCCTTCCGAAACCGATGGGTTCTGAAGGATTTCGGCATACGCGCGCGACGACGCGCGCGTCTGCACTTCGTCCCATTTCTTGCAGAGGATACTCGCTACGGCACACGCGCACCGGCGTTCGACAGATTTCGGCATGCGCGCGCCCGAAACCCGTTTGGTAGCATGTTTTGAAAATCTTGGAACACCTATGGTTTTCTTAAGATTTCGCAAGAGCTCGCGCGTAAGCTTCTTTAGCCAATCAGTGTTGCGAAACCATGTGTTTTCGTATGTTTGTTTTGGAAACTCGATTGCGAAATTCTTCCGACACCGAAGATTTTTGAAGGATTTCGGCATGCGCGCGCGACGACGCGCGCGTGTGCACTTCGTCCCACTTTTGCACAGGATTCGCGAATAAGTGCGATGTTAGAACAAAAGATGTCCCCGCGTATCGTTTCTTACAAGGGAACCTCAGGGGGCCGATACCGGCCCCCCGGGGATAGTGTAAATTCATATTTCGGATGGACATGTGGCCATAATCATATATGATTTACATTCCCGAAAGGGGGGGCGATAACGCCGGGGGGGGGATAAAGCAGAGTTAATGTATGTTCGCAGTGTGTTGTTAGCTCCCACGCCTTTGCAAACATCCCACCCACCCACCCGCAACTTGTTTGTAAAACCCATGCGGCGGCGATTGCGATACATGCTTGGCGTTGGCTGGGCCATCTCTGCGGCCGCGCCGACGATGGCTTGGCTGGTGACGATGTTCGCACCGACGAAGGCGCGGCCAGAACGGGCGCCGACGCTGATCACGCCGACGACGATGACGGCGTCCTCGCGTCGGTGAAAAGGTTTTGGAAAGAGTTGGACATGCGCGCGCGGCCGACGCGCGAGAGTGGCCCGCATGGCTACTATTTGACACGGATCGTGCCCCCCCCCAACACGCGCGCAAGGGCGTGCGAATGTTGTCGGCATGCGGCGTCAGAAACCCGCTTGGCAGAATCCCACGAAACGGTTGATCACCGATGGTTTTGTAAGGAATTCGCAAGAGCGCGCATGTTTTTTTGAGCATTGATGTCGCGAAACCATGTGTTCTTGGAGTTGTTTTGAGATTCGGTTTCGGAATCGTTGCGAAAGCGGCGGTTTTCGAATGACTGTTGGCATGCACGCGCGACGGCGCGCGCGCGTGCACTTCGTCGCATCTGTTGCAAAGGATTCTCGCGACGGCACGCGCGCAAAGGCGTTCGAACGATTTTGGCATGCGCGCGCGAAGCCTGTTTGGTAGCATTTTCAGAACATGTTGAACAACTTATGTGTTAAGGAAAAGTTCGCAGGAGCGCTCGCGCACGTTTTTTGTTTGACAATCCGCGTTGCGAGCCCATGGGTTTTTTGTCCCTACCATCCTGTGGTGTTGGGTCTTCGTTTTGAAGAGACGGTCCCCGCGTTGTTGTCCTGTTTTCCTCTTCTCCTCCTCCTCTCCCTCCTCTCCTCCCTCCTCTTTTCTTCGTGCGTTTCACCACCCAACACAGTGTTTCGTGGCCCCATAGGGAGCTCCACCGAAGCCGAAGCCCCCAGTGGGATCGCCCGTATGCGTCACCCACACCCAATTTGGCATTTCCACTTGCCCAGTACAGCGCTTCGTGGCCCCATAGGGAGCTCCACCGAACCCCCCAGTGGGAACGCCCGCATGCGTCCCCCACGCTCAATTTGTTTTCACCCATCCAGTACACTGTTCCGTGGCCCCATAGGGAACCCCACCGAAGCCACAGTGGGACCGCCCGCATTCGCCCCCCACTCCCAATTTTGCATTTTCACCGGCCAAGTACAGCGCTTCGTGGCCCCATAGGGAGCCCCACCGAAGCCCCCAGTGGGGCAGCCCGCATGCGTCTCCCACACCCAATTTGGCATTCTCACCAACCCAGCACAACGTTTCGTGGCCCAATGGGGAGCACCACCGAAGCCCCCAGTGGGACCGCCCGCATGCGTCCCCCACACCCAATTTGGTAGTGTCACCCACCCAGTACAGCGCTTCGTGGCCCCATAGGGAGCCTCACCGAAGCCCCCAGTGGGACCGCCCGCATGCGTCCCCCACACCCGATTTGGCATTGTCACCCACCCAGTACACTGTTCCGTGGCCCCATCGGGAGCTCGACCGAAACCCCCAGTGGGGCCGCCCGCATGCGCCCACCATGCCTAATTTGGCATTTTCACCCGCCCAGTACAGCACAGCGCTTCGTGGCCCCATAGGGAGCTCCACCGACGCCCCCAGTGGGACTGCCCGCATGCGTCCCCCACAGGGAGCTCCACCGAAGCCTCCAGTGGGACCGCCCGCATGCGTCCCCCACACAGAATTTTACATTTTCACCGACCAAGTACAGCGCTTCGTGGCCCCATAGGGAGCCCCACCGAAGCCCCCAGTGGGGCAGCCCGCATGCGTCCCCCACACCTAATTTGGCACTTTGACACACCCTTCACAACGTTTCGCGGCCCCATGGTGAGCTCCACAGAAGCCCCCAATGGGGCCGCCCGCATGCGTCCCACACGCCTAATTTGGTAGTTTCACCCGCCCAGTGCAGCGTTTCGTGGCCCCATAGGGAGCTCCACCGACGGCCCCCGCGCTACCGCCCGCATGCGTTCCCCCCCCCCGCCCAGCGCAGCGCTCCGTGGCCCCATGGGGAGCTTCACCGAAGAAAATATTCACAATTGCAGTACCCACAACTTCGTATGGTTGGGTCCCTTCGCCTGGATAATTTAGGGCACTCGATTTGTAAGTCCTTTCGAAACCGAAGGTCTTGAAGGATTTCGGCATACGCGCGCGACGATGCGCGCGTGTGCGCACTTCGTTTCATTTGTTGCAGGTGGTTCTTGACAACTAATGTTTGGTGATGAACGAATGCGCGCGCGTTGTTCCCAACCATGCTGTGGTGTTGGGTCCACGTTCTGAAGAGACGGTCCCCGCGTTCCTCTTCTCCTCCTCTCCCCCCTCCTCCTCTCCACCGCCCGCATGCGTCCCCCACGCCCACTTTGGCACACCCCTCACGCGCTTCGTGGCCCCATAGGGAGCTCCAACGAAGGCCCCAGTGCCACCGCCCGCACGCGTCCCCCACACCCAATTTGGCACACCCCTCGCACGTTTCGTGGCCCATAGGGAGCCCCACCGAAGCTCCCAGCGGGACCTCCCACAGCACTTCGCGGCCCCATGGTGAGCTCCACCGAAGCCCCAAGTAAGAACCCCTAAGTGCAGGCACTTTTTGGGGAGTTGTACATGCTGCTGCAGATCCGGCCAACAGACAGCACCCGCTCTGGGACACGTCAGCTCTGCAGTCGATCCCCACTGGACCGCCGTCGGCCTGGGTTCGCCCCCGGCGCGCCTTGGCCTTGACGCCCCCCCTTCGCCATCCTCCTGGCCTTCCTCGCCCGACGAGGGGGGGAGGGGAGCGCCCTTCATTTGCCCTTCCCGCCCTCCCCCCTTCTCCTCTCGTCAGCGGCGAGCGAGGGGGGGAAGTGAGAAGGAAAAGGCCTTCTCAGAAGGTTTCGGAAGTCCCTCAGCCTTCTGATAAGTTTTCTAAGCCTTCCCCGAAGACCATGAACACTTTTCAGAAGGCGCGAGGGCTTCTGAGAAGTCGCGCCGCCTTTTGAGAAGGCCTTCTCTTTCTCACTTCCCCCCCTCTCTCGCCGCCGATCCTCGCCCCACGGGGACGCGCACACGGCCTCGGGGGTGCCGCGCCGAGGCTCGAGCGGGCGAGTCGCAGATGCAGGGTCAAGCAGCTGCAGTGGGGATCACCTCAGGCTTTGGAGAGTCTCAGGGCTCGACTGTCTGGTGTGCGTGTGAGAGTGAGGGCTCAAGCATGGGGGGAGCTCTGAGCGATCCCTCCTCGCCACCTCCGCTCCAACCTCCCTCTCTCCTCCGCTCTCCTATCTCCCCCCTCCTCCCTGCTTCTTGTTCGCGCCCGTAGTTATCTTGGCTCAAGTCAGAGCGCCGGTGCGCCAGTCGCTGCGGCGCCCTCAGTCGTGGGGCCCCCCGCTCGCGCTGCGCGTCCTGGCCGCCCCAGCTGCGACGCCTGAAAGTGGGCGGGCGCCGCGCCCCCCGAAGCGCGGCGCGCTGGCGGTGCCGAGCCGGGCCCCGCGCTCCGGCGCGGCGGTTGCGATCGGCGATGGACTCCAGCCGCATCCAGGGCATCGGCAACGACGGGGCCACGATCCTCAGGTGCCCAGCCGGGCACTGCCTGCATTCCTGGGTCGCCCGCGCGGGCACTTGCGACGGGTGCCAGAGGTTCGTGGAGGATGGCGAGGAGGTGATGGACTGCCGGCAGTGCAACTGGTACCTGTGCAGGACTTGCGAGGCGACTTACAAGCCTCCAGACACGTCCATGTGGGGCTCATTCGTGTCCTTCTTGAACGCCGCGGACCGTTCTTGCCATGATGTGGAGTCTGCTTTCGCCGAGGACGGCTTCGGGGCGCCCGTGTCCAACGAGGATGCGCAGAGAGCTGCGACCGATGGGGTCACGTCGCACGACAACCAGGCGGCCGACGAGCTCATAGCAGGCTTCTGCGCAGGGCACCGCGAACACAGCGTGGTGCCGGACGCGGTGGAGCTGGACGCCCTGTGGTCAAGGTGCTGCTTGCTCTACGGCTGCGTGCTCGATCCTGGCCCCCTTGCCAGCGCCATCGTCGCGCAGCTGGCGTGGGCGGAGGGCTGCGGGGAGCCCTGGCAGCCGCGCCTGCGGGCCCTCTGCGTCCTGGAGATGCTGGGGAAGAAGGGCGCCGTGGGCAGGGAGATCGCCGGCGCCACGGGCCCCGAGGGCGAGGGCCTCGTTCGGAGGCTGCTGGACGTGCCCGAGTGCGCGGAGAGAGCGGCCGTGGTGCTGCAGGGCCTGGAGGAAGTCAGGGCGTTCCAGGAGGCCTGCTTCTGAGTTCGGGAGGGTGTAGACTTCCGGTCGGGAGCGTTGGCTGAGCGTGTCGCGCCGCCGGTTCTGGCCCACCACCTTCCGGCGCGCCTATAACTTAAAGGCGTCCCAGCCCGAAGCACCAACGTTCCGAGCTTTTCCTGGCCTCCCGCCCCACGAAGCGGAGCGACACGCTATCCGCTTGCAGGACACAGCGTGACGCTGGGGCCGCCGCCGCGGCACGCTGAGCAAAAGTGGCCGACCGTAGCCTGATTATGCTTTCACGGCTCGCCACCGGGCGCGTGGCGCGCACCTTGCGCCGCTTTCTCGCCTTGCTCTCGCGTGTGAAATGCTGCCGGTTCCCCTGTTGCTCGCCCTCGCTGCTACCTTCTCGACCAGGCTGCGGTCCCTCATATGACAGGGCGGTGTATTGACGTGTCGTGTGGGGCGTCGCGCGAAAGTATAGTCGGCACATCGACCTTGTCCTTTCTCGCGCCCATGCCTCCCCCCCCTGCCCTCCGCCCTGGTGGCCCGCCTCCCCACCCCCGCCCCCATGGCCGCGCGCGGGGGTGATGGCCGACCTCGTGAGCGAGCCCGTCGGGGCCCGAGCTTGGCGGCGACCTCTGTGGCTCAGCCCCCGGCGGCTCCTGCGCCCAGCCAGCCATCCGCCCGCTGTGCTTCCTGAGGAAATCCCCCCCTCGCCCACCAGCCCCCCCGCTTCCTCCAAGCCCTCCCCTGCCCTCCCCCTCCTTCCCTGCTGCTTGCGAGGAGGAGGAGGAGGAGGAGGACGACGACGAGGACGAGGACGAGGACGAGGGCGAGGGCCTGGAGGCGGAGGAGGAGGAGGAGGAGGAAGAGGAGGAGGAGGACGAGGGCGAGGGCGAGGGCGAGGGCCTGGAGGAGGTGAAGAGTGCGGCCTGAGCTTGGGGCGAGGAGTTGGCATTCGGCCCCACCAGTTCCGCCAGCACCTCGCGCTTGCGAGCGCAAGACCTTGCCTCTTCAGGGCCCCCGCCCCCCTTGCCAATCGTCGGCGGCAGGCCCCGATGTAGAGAGGGGATCCCGCGGCGCACTGCGCCCGCAGGGGGTCCAGCACGGAAGGAAAGAAGCAACGGAGTGACGCCAGAAAACGGGATCGTCTTCACCGACGTTCGCGCGTAAGCTGCCCGCGTAGGGTCGCGCGTCAGCGCCATCGTCTCCAATGTTGCGTGCCGCGCTGGCGGCTCGCGTAAGCCGCGGCGCAAGGTCGCTGTGCCATCTCGTGTAAGACCCGTGTCTTTCCGTCGCTCAATTGATCAGTTCAGAGTTAAGAGACAAATCGGCCTTGGCGCTGGCGCCTGCCACTCGAAGACGGTTGGAGCACCACCGGCCGTGGTGCGATCATTTGCATTGCAGCGCCTTTTGCAAGGGGCCAGCCAAAGGCAATCTCAGACGGGGCCGTGACATCGAGTCAGCGCCCGTGGCGGCTTACGAATGCATTGTAGATCTTTCAATCACGTCGTTCTCCCCCCGTGACATCCCACAGTGGCAGCCATTCGGACCCCTCTTCGCGCCTAAAGCCCCAGGCGATTCCCCCCTCCACCCCGCGCGGAACAGCTTTTTCCCGCCCCTCACGCGAACTAAGCCCGCCCGCTCATTTGCGAAAACGGACGGGGCGTACATCATCATCATCATCATCATCATCATCATCATCATCATCATCATCATCATCATCATCATCATCAGCATCAGCATCAGCATCAGCATCAGCATCAGCATCATCAGCATCAGCATCATCAGCATCAGCATCATCATCAGCATCAGCATCAGCATCAGCAGCAGCAGCAGCATCAGCATCAGCATCATCATACTCTGCATCAGCAACAGCAGCATCAACAGCAGCATCATCATCATTATCATCCACATCCTCCTCGCCATCATCAACACCACCATCATCATCGTTAGCAGTATCATCATCACCTGCACCACCATCATCAGCATCATCATGATCATGATGATCATGATGATCATGATGATCATCGTCATCATCGTCGTCATGCGCATCATCATCACCATCATCATGACTTCCGTCGTCGTTGCCATCATCACCATCACCATCATCATCATCATCATCATCATCACCATCATCATCATCATCATCATCATCATCGTCATCCGTGTCATCAGCATCATAATCACCATCAACATCACCAGCACCAGCATCAGGATGATGATCATCATCATCAGCATCATTACCAACACTATCACCTTCCTCAGCCTTCTCCTCCTACTCCTCGTCATCATCATCATCATCTTCTTCATCACCGTCATCATCATCACCACCATCATCATCGTGCTCTGCAGCGGCCGTCGGCCCTCCGCTGCGCCAACGAGAGGTCATGACATGCCCAGACCTCCCACGCAGTTTTTGTGTGGAGGAGGTGTCTCCCTGTGTGACACAGGGCAACAGAAGAGTCCCACAGCGGGGGCGGGGAGCCTGAGGATGTTTCGTCTGGCAGCAGGTGCGGCAGCCGCTTCGCCTAAGATTTCCTCACACTGTATGAGAGTTCTGTGCTCCCGCCTCAATGCTGGCTACACTTTAGGTGTGGACGGTTACGGACCTTTGTAACCAGACACAGTAAGGTGCTCATGGTCTGGTCCAGACGTCCATGCTCCCTGGAACAACAACCATACTGAGATGCACATGTCCTGGTCTGGACGGCCACGAGCCCTCGCGGCAGAAATTACGCACGTACGCATGGCCGTGCTCGCAGGGGTTCGGCGGCGGCTTCGCCTGATAGTTGACCGCAGTGTGTGCAGGAGTCGTGCTCTCGCCTCAGCGCCGGTCACTGCAGCGGACGGGGGGCCGTGACCGCCTGGTCTGGCAGCCGTGTCGTTTGAGAAGTCGTCGCAATTGATTCACGAAGCGTGCTCTCGCCTCGTTGCCAGCTACAGTTCCAAGTAGCGTTGGGCTGGAGAGTTGTACAAGTTCTTCACAACGAGCAGCAAGATAGTCCCACAGGGGGCGCGGTGAGCCCGAGACCGCCCGGTCGGTTGCGAGGGTCGGATTGGCACTGGGGGGGAGGCAAAAAAAAAGACTCCTTCGCACTTTTGTTTGAATCGTGTTCGCGCCGCAAAGCCAGCTACCACGGGGAGACCGCGCGTCGTACAGGCCCCACAGGTCCCACAAGTCCCACAGGCCCGAGAGGCCCCACAAGGCCCACATGTCCCACAAGTCCCACAGGTCCCTCGGGTCCCGCGGGCTCCACATGGCCCCACAGGCCACATCTACATGTGCCCCAGGTCCCACAGGTCCCACAAGTCCCACGGGCCCCACAGGTCCCGCGGGTCGTACAGGCCCCACAGGTTCCACAGATCCCACAGGTTTCTCAAGTCCCACAAGTTCCACAGGTTCCACAAGGCCCACAGGCCCCACAGGTCTCACGGGCACCATTGGCCCAATAGGTCCTACAGGTCCAAGCCCACCGGTTCCGCAGGTCCCACTCCTCGCACAAGTCCACAGTTCCCACTTGCCCCACGGGTCCCACGTACCCCACAGGTCCCTCACGTATCACAGGCCCCACATGTCCCACGGGTCCCACAGGTCGCACAGGTCCCACTGGCTCAGAGGTCTCACAGGTCCCACAGGTCCCACAGGCCACACGGGTTCCTTTGGACCCGTGCTGCGGTTCGGGGTGCTTTGCTGGGGTATTCCGGCGGTCTTCCTTCAGTTCGCGCCCCCCAGAGGGCGCTCTGAGGCCCAGGAAGGATCAAACGTGGTTCTGGGACGCAGAACTACCTGCGGGAAAGAGACGGAAATCCTGGGAACGCGGACTGGAACAAAAAACACATCGGTGGATGTTTTGGGTTGCGACCGCCCAAGAGGCGCAGAGGAAAGGACATTGGGCGGGGGGCGGGGGCATGTTAGAGCAGATTGAGCACTCGCGCGCTCTCACGGTTCGGACAGTTCCTGGCGTACGGGGCAAAGGATGGGGGGGAGGGGAGGATGCAGAAAGGCACAAGGGAGTGGAGGATAACGGAGGGGATGGGGAGAAGGTGGAAATGAGAGGGAGGATTGCGGGGAGGATAATTGGGAGGAGAGGGGCACAACGAGAAGGAAGGGGGCGACGAGGCATCAGGATCATGTAGAAGTGAGAGGAGATAGGGGGATGGGAGTGGGAGAGAAGGCGAGAATGTAGGGGCGGGAGGGTGGATGGTGAAGACAGATCAGGGTGGATAATAGGGGGGCCGGGGGAAGAGAAGGTAAGAGGAGGGAACAGAGATGATATTGGACATTGAGTGCGTGGGATAAGCAGGTGTAGGCGGATGATGTGGTGGATGTTGAGGAGTCGGAGGAGGAGAAACGGGAGAGAGAAGCGATTGACCGTATAACGAGAAGGAGTATTACAGTGAAGGTTGAGGGAGTGGGAGAGAGGGCAATGGATGGTGGAGGCGGAGGGACGGGGAAGGTGAGGAGGCAGGCTGGAGGCAGACAGGAAGGTCAGGAGGAACGGTAAGGAGATAGGAGGAGAGGAAACGAGAGGGAGATGATGGTCATGTGAGTGTGATCTTGATGATGTCGATGCTGAGGCTGGGGTCGAGCAGGAGGAGGATGAGGAGGCGGAGGATGCTCATGAGGCTTAAGGTGGCGGAGGAGGCGACGAGGAGGAGGAGTAGGATGAGGAGAATGAGGAGGAGGAGGAGAAGGAGGAGGAGGAAGAGGATGGGGAAACCAGGCATGGGAAGGAGAGGCCCACGGTGGCCTCCCCGGCTCCCCCCCTCGGGAGAGGCTCCAAAACGAGAGAGGGGCGGCGGGGGGGGGGGAGGGCCGAAGCGCGGGCAGAGCCGCTGGTGGCCGCGAGGACGACACCACGGGCGCCGAGGAGTGA